GGGTACATACAAATTCTTAGTTTTGCATTTTGCGGTTTTTATGGGCGTTTTTGCGAGGTTTTTTTTACAAGTACATATAAGGGTACTCCAGTTAATTTTGAATATAGTAAAACATTTTCAAATTATTCTAGCGTGAAATTAAGAACACTGACTTGATTGGCTAAGAGTTTTTGTCTGTTTATTTTGTTTTTACTGTGATCCACAATGATTTTTCAAAACATAAATCACGCTTTCATGCATTCTGTTTGACATTAAAGTTGATTATTATTTGAATTCCTTATCTACTGTTACATAACCAACAAAATTTCTCTGCGACTGATTGTAAGTCTGAAATAAACTTATTAATGAGAAAACTCAGAAATACACTAATATGCTATTGGTTGCGTCAAAAATAATAACTTCACAACTGTTTATATATTCTTTCTTTCCCATGTTTTATTATATGCATACCATAACAAAAACATAACATCAAAGTAAATTTTTATGTAATTTACCAAAATATTCAAAGTAAATGTACAAAGCCCTCTCGTAACAAAACCAATATTTTTCCAGTAATTCCTTTACGATAGCAACAGTTACAAAACAGCAAACATAAAAAAATGATTAAAAATAGCCTTCTAGTTCTTAATTAAGTTTGTGTAAACGTTTCTGTTTCTTCATTATTAATAAACCTTCGGACACCATCATAATTATTCTTTATCCTACATCTGCGCTAACTTTAGCTCACTCTTTATTCTATTTCATCCTAGATTCAAACCATTTGGTTTGTTTATCTGTAACTTATAAGGCTTAGCGTTGGACACGAACTTAAGGGAAAGTTTTACGAACTTGGATAAAGTACCTCCTTTCTTCTTGACTCCTAAAAATTTGGACGAGATGGAAGAAAATGGATTCGACTTAAACTTGGTCACAGCATCTCTTGCTCTTCCATTTGACAGAAATTTGGCATCTAATCTGCGAAGTGGCGATGACAGAATTGTTGACCGTGAGAAAGGTGGCGTGATGGTAGATCTGAATCCAGTGAAACTGTTGATATGATAGATGGGAGAGTTGGGTAAATCAGTGTTCCGAAACATCCAGTAATGGCCAACATCAGCCGCATCCACAAACGAGCCAATCAACAGAAATATTAAACACCACATTATCATTGCTGTAGAACTGAGGGATGGAAATAATAATTTGGTATATTTTCTCCTGTTTTACAACACCAAAACAAACAAAGAATAATATGATACATTTATTTAGTTCATAGATATTAGGTTGCAAGCTGTTTTAACAGATTCATTCACTTTATGTCTTCATATTAGACGGAAATAAACCTAAAATAAACATGTTTAGGCACAGTGTGATAAGTACTTATATAACTACACGTCAGTCTGCCATTATATACCTTAATAAAGTGCTTTAGGGACCACTGTCAAAATATAAAACGAGTTAAATTAGAATACATTTATAAACCTATCGGTATGGAAACAGCATGGCCTTCTTATAGACATATCTCAACAGTAAGACACTGTTAAGGAGACCATCTAAACACTATTATACTCCTAGAGAGACTATTTAAACAGTATCGTTATCCTAGAGATATATCTCAATAGTATGACACTCCTAGAGAGACCATCTAAACACTATGACCATTCTAAAGACATATCTAAACAATATCGCCATTTTAGAGACATAATTAAACAATATCTTAGAGACATGTTTAAACTGTATAACACTCTTAGATAAATGTCTAAATAGCATGATCCTTCTAAAGATATTTCTAAAAGGTATGGCACTCTTAGAGGCATATCCAATCATTAGGAATCGTCTATATATGGCTCTTCATATCTAAACTGTGTGACCCTCCTAAAGACATATCTAAACAGTATGACCTTCCATATATCAACGGTATGGCCCTTTTAAAGACATATTTAAACTGTATGACCCTCCAAGAAAATATTTAAACAATATGACGTTCCTAAAGGCATGTCTGAATGGAATGACTTTCAATATCTAAACAGTGTCTTTCCACATCTAAACAGTATGATCTTCCATATCTAAACGGTATGACCCACTTAGAGACATATTTAAACAGTATGTTCCTACTAGAAACAATATACTGTTGCGTCATCGAGATCACATGACTACAGTGACGCCACGTTTCTAGAACTATCCCGTATCTTGGCGAATGCTCTAGTATTTGCTAGATATAGGGTAGTTTGGTATATACAAGAGGGGATAACGTGACGCGTGATTAAGGTAATGTGTGTATAGATAGTGAGTAATTGAACTGCAGTCAGAA